GGTTTTTCTATATATATATATATATATTATTGTTATAACCTGATAAAATAAAAATAGAAAAACCTATGTAAGTTCACTGGCTTTAATTTAATTTATAATTTGATATTTTTTCTAGTTAATTTTATATGGGAAAGAGAGAGAGAGAGAGGGAGAGAAAGAGAGAGAGAGAGAAACTTATTTTATAAAAATGTAAAAACTTACTTCATTTGTACCGAGATTCATGTGGTATTGGAGGGTACTGTTGTGTTTGAAATGAGCAACAAAGTAATTTACTTCGAAAGGCGGAAATTCCTTTTGTGGATCACGATATATCGTATTATTTAATATATGTCGCTTTGCGATTTCTAGAGGAGCTGTATTCATCGTATCGAGACACTGACTACGACTTCCCAGCCAGTAATTATTTCCATAAAGAAAGCCTGGTTGAAATCCACCGCTAGAATCCAGCACTCAAAAACATAAAATAAACAATTATTATTTAAGCATAAATATTGAGCAATAATTTTTATTTATTGTTAGTACATCATCAATGTTTTAATTCATTGTTGAATTTAAAAAGTAATCTTTAGATATTTCATTATTTAGGCCCGGTTGCACCAATGTTATTTTGGCTTTAAGCGAGACCTAAAACTTTTGGCTTTATTAGACTTTAAACTATCAGTTTGTTGTGCCTCTAGCCGCTAAGGAAGAGGTCTTTAGGGATTTATACGCCCAAAGGATTAGGATCCACGCTCGAAATAAGACACTCCCGGACGTTAGGTATAAATTAATATATTTCACAGGTTTTGGTACACTTTTACTTATTCGCGATTATAATAGTCGGGTGCGATGTACGGTATATCGATACTGTTGATATGAGCGAGCGAGTGAACGAGTAGTGAGCGATGTTAATGAGCTATATTACTGAGCTAGCGTCGGTGCATCTCGCGCTCAATATATATTAATTAATTAGGTCGTTGATTAGGGAGGAGTGTGGTGTCCCTGACCGGAGCATGTCTCGTGCTCCGCTCGTCAGCTGTCTAGTCAGCTGCTTACTCAGCTTCCGAGAACTTGACCGTAACTTCCTTCTCTTTAGTCACGTATCATACTTTTATTTTATTAATAATCTTTTATTACTTAACTCTTTCTTAATTATTTTTCCTTGATCTCTTTTCTAATTTTAATGCATTGCTTTACTCAGCTCTTTCTTAATCTTTTCTGTTTAACTTTATTGTTTTATCTTTTAATATATTAGGAAATTGGTCGGGCTACGACAAAACGCTTACAAAATGTGCTCACAATGTCGAAACGCGTTATACAGAATTTTCAAAATCATCAATATATTTTATACATAATGGCAGGTATCAAAGATGCAATAAAAATAATTGTTATAACGAGATATTAATGGTTACATTTGTCAGTGGTTAAAAATCGAAAACAATAATAATAAATATAATTGGAACAAATAAATAACAAATATTTAATGTTAAGATAATTTGTGTGTGTATAAATAATTTTGTCACTACATTTTTATACAGAAGTAATTAAATCGCTTTGCGATTTCTAGAGGAGCTGTATTCATCGTATCGAGACACTGACTACGACTTCCCAGCCAGTAATTATTTCCATAAAGAAAGCCTGGTTTAAATCCACCGCTAGAATCTAGCACTTAATAATAAAAAATAAGCAATTATTATTTAAACAGAAATATTGAGCAATAATTTTTATTTATTGTTAGTCTATCCGTGATTCACGCGATCAACGTTCGTAACGGTATACGCCTTCCTCAGACTTATAAATTGGAAGGCGTATCTTAAATAATATTAATTAATAATAATCATATAACATAATAATGTAATAATAATGTACATAGTCTTTTGGGCTATAACACATGTTTTAAATATAAAATTCTAAATAATTATTAGAATTTTATATTTTTGCGAAAGATAACATTACTCTACATCTCAGTAATAATATAGTAATAAAATATACAAGGTAATGTTTTAATGTGTGATTAAACTAATAAGGTAACGTTATCAGTTTTCTATTTTTGCGACTGACGGTTAGTATTACAAAAGTAGTATTACAAAAAAAATAAAATTTTAAATATTAAATTGTAATGATTGTACCAATAATTGAACTAAAAAATGAATCATATTCCATTAAAATAAGAGATCCTATGTTATTTAAATAGTGATTTAAATAGTGATTTAAATAATGATCAGCTTGATGTTGTAATAAAGAATATCAAGAACCAGTTCATCAAACATTTATTGTGTAACGATAAAAAGTTTGAACATCTCCTTAAATAAAGCATATGCCTCATGCAGAAATTTTAAAAATATCTTGTATATATTACTTTTTCAAGCACTTCATCTTATTATAAGTACTTTTAGATCCGAATCCTATTAAAAAAAAAAGTGCAATTACATTTTTAAGATGCACGTTGTACTTACAAAAAAAAATTTATTAAGACTGTCATATCTCGACAGATTGCATGTGATTCTTCTTTTTTCTTAATAATTTTACATTTTTTAGTTATAGTTTTGTTTCTATATTTAAACTATGTGCTCTCTCGCGTCTTTCTGCTGTTAAAAACGTTTTCTTCAAAACTTTTTCATAAAAACTTATACTTCGCAGTTTCGCTTAATCTTCCTACACTCCCAAAGAGCACAAAATGTCAAAAGGCATCTTGATGCCTGGCTGACTGGTTTTTTTTTATTAGATGAGTGACATATTTCGAAAACGCTTAGATTTCTAAAGTTAAATTTGCATTATATTAAGCTATATTAAAAATAAATCTGTTATTATCTTTTATTTTTGTATTTCATATTTTTCTTATAATTCTTTAATAAAGCATTTATAGGCTTACATATGTATATATTTATATAACACTTTTTCTTATTTTTATTTGCATAATATAGTGGCATAGTTTGAGTGAAAAATGTCGGAATATGTTTGTACATTAAATTACTACATTTAAATCAATTGTTCTATAAATATGGAAATATGTAGAAGATCAAGATAATTCCGCTTGTGTATACTCAATATTGGCCTGAATGTACTGATCTCATCTGGATTGGATGTGGCCATAAAGTGAAAGAAGAAGAAGAAGTGTACACTCAAGGGCAGGAATGGTGTCCCTCGGCGGTTAGGTGTATACGTATATGACCAAAAATTGATGAGCGCTTTGAGCGTCAGAAAGCTAATTCATTATCGCAGAGAAGCAGCATTATTATCCAAAACTTAGTCTCATGCGTATTATCATTAATTATCGCGATAGTGTCATCTTTGGGCGCACAATAGTACACAAAATAATTCCGATATATTCAGTTGATTTCGTTGTATTGTACGCGCTTCGCAATATCGCTTTGAAATACTGCGCTTAAACGTCCCATTACAATCGGTATAATGACAATGGTAATTGAAGTACTCTGTAAATTAGTACGTACTATATCACACAAGAGAACATTTTACAATTTGTGCTGCATTTAGTCCGATGTGACAATGTTATGCAAAAATCGCATGTAAACTATAATCTCTAATAATTTGGCATACAGAGCGCTTGAATGTATGTGACGAGCGATATATCTTGTTGGACAAAACGTCAAGCTAGTTTTGCTATGATATAGTGATACGCACAGTCTCTGTATATGAGGATAAAATATAACTTTTAATGAAACATCAATGTCAGGTAGATCGATTTATATTGCGTACGAGATATTCGTAATATCGTTACTATAAATCACTGTAAAAATGCAGTTACGATGGCAAAATCGACAATATTTATGATATTGACGAGTATGCTTTCAAATTACCTTGAACAAATTGCTTCTAAAAGGGAACGAAAAATAAATCAGAATACGAACGGTTTCGAGATAGTAGAATTTCTCGGTTAAAAGTGATAATATCCGAATTCTACGGATGTTCTTTCCATTTCTAACTGAAGCGCAGCCGTCGCAATTTTCTTCGAAAAAGATTGTATTTTTATCAGTTGAAGACATATCACAAGGATAGATATTCAACAATAAAGTTGCCTTTAAAAAATATCTGATATTTAAGGCATTATTGACTATTTCAAGATAACTATCGCGTATGTATGTATATGTATTATCTGAAGCGCGAAAAAGATCAAGCAGGGAAGGAGAAAAAAGTGGAAGGCAATCCGACCGCATTCCGTTACATCCTTGTTACCAGTCATATGATCGAGAGAGAAAGCAATGCAAGACGTGATGCCAATTAATAGGGTCCTATATTTGTCTCACTCACTCCAATTGAATGCAGGAAGTGCGAGTGAGACAGTTATAGCCAGCGCGCTGGCTGGACACCGCTTTCGGCTGTCACGTATACATCTAGCCGCCTAGAGACACCATTTCTGTCCTTGAGTGTACATGTACATAGCTTAATTTATTGCAATGTAATATTTAGTTAGGTGATTTAACCTAACAGTTAGGTAATTTAACCTAATTTTAACTAATTACTAATAATTATTAACTACTTTTTTTCTCTTTTTACAATAGTAAAAAAAGGCATATGAGTTTAGTTAACTTTAATTATAGTTTTTGTAATTAGACAATTAATTCAGTGTAGAGTAAACGCAAATAATTGTTTAATAATTAGTTCTTCTAATATTTTCGACTTTCTTTATAAAATTATAATTAAGTAAATAGAATTTTTTTTACTTACTTTTTAAACTCCATAATATTCGTTGATCCACGGCGTCGCGAAAGTCTCGTAATTCCTTTCCGCATATAGTTGAGTTAACAAGATCAGCTTTCGAAGCAATTATATAAGCAGGCAGCATATTATTAATATTATTAATAACTTTTTTGTATTCATTCCCGTTAGATTTGTTAACGTGCGCAAAAACACCAATTAAGGCATCAAAATTTACACAAATACACAAAATAAACACAAAGCGATAAAATAACATAATGCGGCTATAATCACTATTATTTTTTTATTATTTAAATTGTCGGCGAATACTTTAATATCAATTATAAACTGCAACAGACTTCAGAATTTTATTTATATTATATATATTTTTTGGTTTTAACAATATTGTTAAATGTAACTAGTAGTTTTGTTAAAATAGGAGAATTTATCGTAGAGTACAATTATGTTGTAAAGTACAACTCGCGTCTCGATACGTGTAAAAATATTTCTCTGTCTTACTATACACATCTGTTCACGTTCGTGGTGTTTAAGAAAGAGAACGATATTTATTAGAAGCACTGCTCAGTAACAGTATTCAGTAACTTGCTATCGACAGTTTTCGATATCGTTAACTAGCGACAGCCAATGGCAAGGACAATCCTGGTGAAAAGCGCAACTCCCATAGGCTATCGCTCGCTAACGACAAAGATAATCGTCGTTAAGAGGTTGGAGGAACCGGAATTAGAATTAAATTAGTTTCTTCGCTTACGTGACGCACTATGCGTCATTAAAAAAACTTGACGCTGCTATAACCTTCAAAGTATATTAAACCAACAAATTTTATAAATTTTATTTAAAACTATATTTAATTCAATTATGTCAATAACTGCGAAATGTATTAAACAATATGTTAACTTTAGCATATTGTTTAGTTTAGCACCAAGTTATTTAATCAAATTCTTTTTAATTTTTTTATTTGTATCAAATTTTAATTTTTGTATAAATTTTTAATTTTTTGTATTAATTCCTAATTTTTAATTTTTCTATTAATTTTTAATTTTGTTTTTTGTGTTTCGCATTATCCTTTTTTTTTTTTATTAAACTTTGCGGGATATATACAATGCATATAATTGTTCACATTTTTGATGATTTTTATAATAGATACCATATTGCCAATTATTAGATATATTTTTTCTTTTAATATTGGATATAAAAAAAATATATACATATATAAATTTTATAGTATAAACTTTTATTCAATTAATCCAACTTTTTAATATCATTATTTCTGTAAGAAATTAAAACAACTATTTTGTACAACTTTTCTTGGTTAATATATTTTCATAAGTTTTTATTTTCAATTGACGCAATCTTTTTATACCATTATTTTTGTAGGATAATCTTTTATAGTAATACATACAACAATTTTTACAACTGGCACGTGCACTTGGCGCCTTTTTCTGACTATTATGTACCCAATATTTTTAATTACAAGCTAACTTTTTCTAAAAATTTTTTTATAAGATAATATTATAA